GTTTCAGAGCTGCATTCCAGGGGCATGTCCCCCCGGGGCTGGGCTGGGGCTGCAGGGGACAGTACTCTCCTCCTGGGGCCCCTGGGCCTGGCATTGCCACAGCATCCCTCCCAGGCTGAGCAGAACCATCAGTGGGCACCGTGGAGCTGACCTGCTTTGCACTGCGTGTGCAGAAATGTGGTTCATCTTTGAGGCTGAAACTCCAGTAGTGGAGTCTTGTTCATTTTTTGAGACTTATTCCTGAGAACAGAGCCACTCGGGGAGGAGAGGAATCATTAGGCTCCCTGAGGGAGAGGGTGGTGGGGGAGAGGCTCCTAGGCCTCAGCTCACCACAACCCCCACCCCGGTGGCCCCCCAGGTGTGTCTTCCTGCCTGACCAGGGAGCCTTCTTTGTGAACTATGTCATCGCCTCGGCCTTCATCGGCAACGGCATGGAGCTGCTGCGGCTGCCGGGCCTGATCCTCTACACCTTCCGCATGATCATGGCCAAGACCGCGGCCGACCGCAGGAACATCAAGCAGGTACAGCGGCGCGGCGGGTATGGCTGGAGTGTAGACTCCCTCCCGGGACCCCAGCCTCTGCACTGTGGGGTTCCCCAGAGGCTGACCCCGAAGCTTAGGGTGGGAGGGTCACTGTGCCATTGGTCCTCAGCACCCTCAGCCTGGTTCCCAAGGCAGAAGGGTTCCCAAGAGGTGGGGGGAGCTGTGTGCCTCCCATTTCCAGCGTCCTCGTCTGTGCCCTGGCTGCCTGGAGTGAGCTCCTTTCCCCTCTGTCCAGAACCAGGCCTTCCAGTTTGAGTTTGGAGCCATGTACGCATGGATGCTGTGTGTCTTCACCGTCATCGTGGCTTACAGCATCACCTGCCCCATCATTGCGCCGTTCGGTGAGTGGCCCCGGAGCAGCCCCAGGAGGATAGGGGGCTGATTCTCCCTCCATCCGTGGTCCCTGCAGCCAACCCTCTGGAACCACCTGGATTCTCAGTCCTAACACTCAATGCTGGCCTATGAAGCGGTCTCCTGCCCACGCCCTTCCAGTGTGGAAGCCCTCAGTGTGACACTAGTGAGGAGTAGATGCAGGATTTGAACTGTTTGACTTTAGAGACCAAAGTCCTGCCACTAAAATAAGCATCAGGAACTCCAGAGAGATGGAAGATTCTGGAAGGAAACAGAACACCCAAGAGACTGTTGGCAGTGCCTGCTGAGGTTTAGGGGTGGGAGGAGGTTTCACTTGTCCCTGTATGTTCTTCAACTATTTAAAAAAGTGTATGGTAATAATCTTTAAAAACAAAATCATTTTTTAAATAACGTGACTTCATAGAGGAGGCTGTACCCCACCTTCTATGCTGCCCCTGGGGTAGGACTCTGGGGCATCTGCCGACTACTGGGTGTAATGGGTCAGCTTGGGTGGGGGAGGGAGGGAGAGCCAGAGCCTTGTGGGATGGTGGGGGGCTCGTGGGGGAGGTCCCAGAAATAGTTGAGTCTGAGCATCTGGGTGTAAAGTAGCTTCTTTCTGCAGAATGATCCTAGAATTTCTGTGTGCTACAGGGACAGGGACAGGGAGAGGACACCCGCAGCTGGGATGTGTGCTTAGCCCTCTTTGGGTTTCCTGCGGTGGGGCAGCAGAGCCAGCCCCAGGAGGAAGGAGGTGAAGGGGCCCTGGGGCCCAGCCGGGTTTGCCGCTCACAGCCCCATCTCTGCAGGCCTCATCTACATCCTGCTCAAACACATGGTGGACCGGCACAACCTCTACTTTGCCTACCTCCCGGCCAAGCTGGAGAAGAGGATCCACTTGGCGGCTGTGAACCAGGCCTTGGCCGCCCCCATCTTGTGTCTCTTCTGGCTCTATTTCTTCTCCTTCTTGCGTCTGGGTGAGGGGCCCTCCCGGCCACGGTGGGGTGTGGGCTGGGGGCAGGAGGCAGCTCTGGAGGAGGCCTTCACAGCAGCTGGTCAGATCCCGCCCCGGATGGCCAGTCAGAGGGTGGCGGCTGGGGGAGGGCCGGCTGACAGCTCGGCTCCAGAGCTGCCCCTGGTGACCCTGGTGGCACGTTAGTGGAGAAGCTTCCAGAGAAGGCAGCCCCCTTATCAGCGCTGAGCCAGAGATGGGCACGCTGGTCCAGGGTGCCCTTTGGGGTGCGGGTGGGCCCGGGTCCTCATAGCTTACATTCTTGTGCAAAGGAAAAATCAGAAGGGGTGTGACCATGCCCTGTCAGGTGGGGGAGCCCCACTCCTACCTCTCCCAGGGCACCAACCCAGCAAGGAAGTGGACAGGTGGATGTGGTGTCTCAGGCCCTGGAATCTGACTGGGGATGGAGGCAGCTGGTCCATGGGATCCCCTGGGTACTCCTGGCTGGTACAGACACCCTCCCTGCAGTGGGAGAGGTCACAAACAGATCCTGCCACATGCAGCCCCTCTTCCCCCCTGGCAAGGCTGGCCTGTCTCTGTCCCCAGGTCTGAAGGCCCCCCTCACTGTGTTCACCTTCCTGGTCGTGCTGCTCACCATCCTGGTCTGCCTGGCCTACACCTGCTTTGGATGCTTCAAGCACCTGAGCCCTCACAACTACAAGGTGAAGGGAGCTGGGTCCCCCCACAGCCATTCACCCATGTGGCCCAGGGGAGAAGGTGGCAGGTCCGCTTGCCACCTCGTCACACGCCCTCTCCAGATTTTGTTTCCCCATGGGGCAGGCGCAGCAGTCGTGCCATGTGTTACCTCCCCACCCCTTCCCTGCTCCCCAGGAGGCCCACCCCCTAACCCTCTGCTGCCGGGAGGTTGGCGCCAGCTGGTACTGCCATCCTGAGTGTTAATAGTCTGTTTGTTTGGAGGGTGCTAGTGCAGGAAGATCGGTTTTGTTTCTCATCACAAATGTGTGCTGTTGTTTGCAGACAGAAGACTCAGGGGACAAAGGAAGTGAGGCAGAAGTCTCCAGGCCAGCACCCTTCACGGTACGTTCTGCTTTTTCCCTGAACAACAAGCCTCAGTGGTTCCCAGGCTCCTGGTGAGATGGAAGTCCCTTGATCACGTGGCAGCCGTGGTCCTTTCGAGAAGGAATCCCTAGGCCCTCGGGATGCTTCACCTGCAGAGGTGAAGCCGCGTTCCGAAGCCGCGTTCCTTTTGCCAAGATGCTACCCCATCCCCTGGTTTCAGTTCTGGGCCCTCGTTTGTTCTCTGCAGGTTGAATGCCTGCTGGGTGAGGCCCCCACGGTACTTGACAGGGCCAGGCCTGGGCCAGAGACCCAGGTCACAGCACCCTTCTGTCCAGCCCTCACCCCCCCCCAGGTCAGGCATTCGTAGGGGTGTCTGTCCTTGGTCCAGCCCCAGAGAAGGTTTTAAAGAAGATTCATTCCCTGGAGGCACACCTGCCCCTGCAGACAAGGGAGGAGGCATGGCAGGTGGATGGCCCAAAACCCCTTCTTAGCCTGGCTCTGGGAAGGAGTAGCAGGAGTGGGGTGGAGGACTGGGTCTGAAATCTCATGCCTGGCCCTGCTCCAAGCACTCAGACTCCCATTTTCTGGCAGCCCTATGTGCCCCGGATTCTGAATGGCTTGTCCTCGGAGAGAACAGCCCTGTCCCCACAGCAGCAGCAGACCTACGGCGCCATCCACAGCATCAGCGGGACTGTCCCAGGGCAGTGCCCGGCCCAGGGCCCTGGGGACAGTGACAGCGAGCCGCCTGTCTACCAGGAGGCCTGAGGGTGGCCAGGCCAGGCTCCGAGCCAGGAGAGGAGACCCAGGTGGGAAAGCAGCCAAGCCCAGAATTACATTCCACATGTTTTAAGCACAACTGCTCCTCAAGGATGGAACTGGAAAGGTGCTCCTGCCCTGGGCTGAGGAAGATAGGCTGGGACTCCCATGGGGTGGTGAGCAGCGGCCTTCCCGGCCACAGCAGCGAGGAGGGGGTCATGCAGCCCTGTCCTCCGACCTGCTTGCCAGAGGCCTGCTCCCTTCTATGTCTCCCTCCTGCACAAATGTCCAGTTCTGTGGCTGGGACAATTTTTAGCAAAATCACGTGTTGGAATTACACCCGTAGCCCCAGCTGCTGTGGTGACCAGATCAGGTACGAGGGAGAATGGAGCAGTGGAGGGGCCCCCCTCGGAGGCCCCAGACGCTGCCCACCCAGCTCCAGGCACACACTCAACTAGCTGATAACCAAAGAGCCTGCGGCGGAACCAGGCCGGAGATGGGGTCCAGATGATGGTCAGGGTCCATTCCAGCCCTCCTCTGCCGATCCCGGGCACCCACTGTGGGAACAGGAAGGCGATGGGCCCATCTGGGGGGCCCCACACCCCTCCTGGCTGCACGCGGCCCTCCATGCCCACCTGGTGGCTCCTTTTGTATCATGTTGCCAGTGACACTGGCTGGATCAGGGTCACCCTGTGGCAGGCAGGGACAATGAGGACCATTAATAAAGTGCCTAACCAGCTAGACTGGTGAGATCCACCCTCTCTTGCCTCTGCAGGGCTGCATATGCCTGCTCCCTCCAAGGTTGGGGTGGCCTCCTAGAGCAGAGCCAGGGAACAGGTCAGGAAAGGGGGAGAAGGAGCGGGTGTCTGTGCCTAGCTGGGCCATGCACCACCCTTAGGCTGTGACCCCAGCTGGAAGGGCAGGTGGCCCCTTCCTTTCTCTTCCTGCAAGGATGGGGACTGGGATGCAGTTCTGGGCATTTGCAGGAGAAGCAGCCTCCTGCTGCCTCCAGGGGATGCCAGAGGCACAGGGAGCAGTGTGTGTGGGGGGCCCACCCTGTAGGAACCCAGTGGTGTGTGGTTCAGGGCCCTGCGATCCCGCCCCAGTGTCACCCAGCCTCAGGCCCTCAGGCCTCCATGCTCTGAGGTGTCCAGGACACCGGGAGGGGATACAGTGGCATCTTGGTGCTCTGTGGGCCTGTCTTGCCCTTCTAGGAAAGGGTTGGGCGGCCCCCTCTTCAACCCAGACTGTAGACCTGTCAGCTCCACTGGGAGGGGGACCCCATGTGGGCTTGGGGCATGCATATGTCACCTGGTCCCAGCCACTTTTAGGAATAAAATCATTTATCATTATTGATTGTGTGTGTGGGAGCACTGGTGCTGGTAGTGAGTATGGGGTCCAGGCATGGGCAGGGGACAGGCATGGGGGTGTACATCTTTGCCAAGAGAACACTGGGAGCCTCCCTGCTCCCTGGGAGCCGGCGCCGGGAGGCGGGGTGTGGGGGCTTCCAGGTAAAGGGGCAGACGTTGTTGGCCAGGGAGCCCCAGGGTGACAGCCAGTCCCCATGGGCATCAGCGTAGCTCCAGAAGCCCCACGAACTTGCGGATGTCCTGTGCCAGCAGCTCTGGCTCCTCAAATGCGGCAAAGTGGCCCCCACGGGCCATGTAGGAGTAGGAGATGAGTTTTGGGTACTTGGCCTTCACCCACTTTTCTGGCATGTGCATTAACTCACAAGGGAAGGCAGCAAAGCCTGTGGGCACGTAGACCTTCATCCTAGAAGGGGCAGAGGACCCAGTGAGGGGTGAGGTGGCCTCCTGGTCCCCGTCTTTGCCCCGTAGCAGGGGTTCCAGGATGGGGTGGGGGTCCGTTCACCAGCCACAGGAAGCCGTAAGGAGGAGGACAGACCCAGGGCTCTAACCACCCCCTCCAATCCAACCACTGGGGGCCTTCTTCTCTGGACAACATGGCTGAGTGGGAGGGGGCAGCTTCTCACACCCCCAGCCAGCTCGCACTTTGCTCCTCTTTCCTCAGAACCGTCACTGCTAGCCGGGCCAGCATCCTGGTGGCCTGCGGCCAGCTTGCTTTCCCTCTGTGAGCTCATTACATCGTGTCCTCATCCCAGGCACCTGGGCACCTGGCAGGCAAGGCTGTACTGTCCCACTGTCAAATATGCCTCCTTGGGGTCGACAGCCGGTGGTCCTGCTGCTCCCAGCCCAGAAGCCCGTGGGCAGGGGCCCAGTGTGGGCTCAGCCAGACTCACCGGTCATGCGCGTTGGCCATGAAGCCCTGCCCCAGGTTCTCCTTGTAGAAGCGCTGGGAAGAGGCAATGGTGCCTGTGGTCCAGTAGAGCATGACATTGGTCAGCAGGTCGTCCAGGGAGAACTTCCTACGAGAGCAGAACCGGAAGGCGGCTCAGGGGCAGGCTTTCAGGCTGCAGGCACAGGCCAGGACCCCCGCCATCTGTCTGGCTTCCTCGTCAGAGTGCACCCAAGGTTGGGCACGGGCAGGCTTGGCCCAGGGTCGCCAGCTGCCACAACAGGACCAGGCTATGGTGGCTGCCTCTGTCATCCTGGGCAGTGTCAGCGCACCCCCTCCTTGCCCATCCCCAGAGGCTCAGCCCAGGGGACGAGCAGGCGAGGTCAGCGGGACCCAGGGGCTTTGGGCTGGTCACCACCCCTGGGCCCTCTGTACAGGCCACCCTCAGGCCAGCCCCAGGTGGCCTCACCCCGACCAGGCCCTGGGTGGATCCCAGCTTCCAGGCCCTTAGAGCCCCTAGATCCACCTGGCATTGCCTGTAAGCCTCCTGCCAAGCTTGTGTCATCCCATGTGGGAGCCATGGGGCCCTGCAGACACCTTGCCACTCAGCGCAGGACACCCCTTTCTTCCTCACCCCGGGACTGCTGAGTGGGGGGACCCCACCCAGGCAGCAGGCCTCCATGCTTGGCGAGGAAAGAGCCATTTGGTTCTTACTGTTGGGGCACATGTGGTCTGTGGACCCTGAGACTCCACATTCCCCTGGCCCCACCTGCCCTTGGGCTCACTCTACCCTGTGTCCAGAAGCCCGGGAGCCCGCCATGGGTCCCATTGCACGTGCCCTCTGGGCATCCACCTCTGCCCCTGTGCCCCCCACTCATCTTTGCCCCACCAGCCTCTGCACTTCCCTCCCAGGATAGCACCCCTTGCACCCGGACCCACTGGCTTCCCTCCCCATCCCTCTCACTTCTATGATACACCCTTGATGCCCTCAGCCCTGTACCTTCTGCAGCCCAGACCCACCTGATGGTCTAGACCCTGGGGGACTCGGGCTCTGTGGAACGGACGAGTCCCCACCATCGGGTGTCTGACAGCCCCCTACCCTGCCTGCCTTTCCCCCATTCCAGGAACAGCTCTGCTCAGGCCCTCCCTGTTCAATTCCAGATCTGGGGGCTTCCAAGAGCTCTTGCCTCCCTGCACCCAGCCTGCAGCCTCTATCTCTCCCTTCCCAGCCCACGGTCTGCTGCCCAAGGCCCCCGAGGCCAGCCTTCCTGCCTCCCCTGCCTCCCCATGCCTCAGCACCCCTTTGCAACTGTCACCCCTTTGCTCACCCTTGCCCCCCACTCAGCTAGGGGCTTCTCACTAGGCTCCATCCTCCCCCTGCAGCCAGGAGGCCAGAGCTCCTCCGTGTACCCGGGAGGCTGCTCCTTGGCACTGCCTGCTAACCATCCCCCAGAGCAGAGAAGGTCATCTCCTCCTGACCCCTCCGTGGGCTCCAGATCTCAGCTCCCCCCCAGCATGTCCACCAGAAGTGGGACCACATCTCTGTCCAGCCCCTCCTCACTGACACAACCCTCACACGTGTGCTCACACATCTGTATACAAATCCACATACATACTTCACAATCCAGAAGCGCTTCTGTTTCTAAATGCCACACACTGCAGGGGCTCCTCCTCCTTAAGCCCTATTTCTGGCCTGAGCAGGGAGGAGGGAGGTAGAACCTTCTGCCCCTGCTCCTCCCTCCCCCCTCACTGTCCCCTTTGAGCCCTGGTAGTCCCTGCGCCCCTCTCCTCCCTCCCTGCCCCAGCCCCCCAACAATCCCTGCTCCTCCCTACCCAAGGCTCTGCTGACGTCACTGCTGCCTGAATTGAGGAACTTGCGGCAGCTCCACTTGGCTCCCCAGCTCTTGGCCAGGAAGTTTGGTTGATTAATCAGACGCTGATTTGCCCAGAAAGGCCAATTTGCTGAACTTGCTTGTTTGTGTCAGCTGTTTAGCTGTAACTGGCCAATCACATTTTTCTCTGGAGCACCACATTTTAAGGAACCTTTGATTCACCGCTGCCCTGCTCCCATTGGAGCGGGTGAGGGGCGCAGGGTGGGATGTTAGCATTAAATGTGAAAACTTCTCTGAAATGATGAATACGTTCACAAGGCATCTTCCCCTTTAGAAATACACTCCTGGTGGCTCAGCGGTTTAGCACCAGGTCGAGATCCTGGAGACCCGGAATCAAGTCCCATGTCAGGCTCCCTGCATGGAGCCTGCTTCTCCCTCTGCCTGTGTCTCTGCCTCTCTCACTGTGTGTCTCTCATGAATAAATAAATAAAATCTTAAAAAAAAATACACTCCTTCCTCTCTAGCAACAGCAGCATGGAGCAAGAGGAGAGAAAGATGAACTTCCTTTTAAATGTTACTGTGGTGACAGGATGGAATCCAGTCAATGAGAAGTGAATGGTCAGAATCAACATTTAACTTGGGAACTAGGAACTTTCAGCGAGGTGGCCAAGGGCTCCCATCTCCCCCTCAGCTCTGGTCACAGCTTGAAAAGGACCACAGCACCCATTTCCGCCCGAGCATTCAGTGATCTTTCTAGACTACAGAACTGAGCACGGCTGTTCCCTGCTCGAAGCTTTGGTGTGTGTGGGCAGGGGGCCAGGCAGCAGTGCAGGAACCCCAGGCCCAGGGCTGGGGGGATCAGTGGGGGCCTCGAGCCTTGGCTGCAGGGACTGTGGGCAAGGAGCAGGGCCACCCCTTGCCAAGGAGCTGCTGATGGATCCCTGTTGCCCCTGGGTCCTGCCCAGTGTGGGGCAGGGAACAGATCCCAGGGTGAGGGCTTGTGAGGGGCTCACAGTCTGGCCCCCGTGCACCTGCTCCACGCCTCGGCAAAGTCAGCCTTTCCAAGGGCACCTCACTTGTCTACCACTCCAGCCTTCACTTCTGCTTTCCTCTCTGCCTGCATTCTCTTCTTCTACCCTTTCCACCGGCAAACTCCTACCCATCCTTCAAGGCCCAGGCCTAATTGAATTCTCCCAGTCATTTCCCCTCCCTGCCCCTTAGACAGAGCAAATCCTCCTTTCTCGGGACTCCCACAGCCTTTCCGAGCTCACCTCTAGTATGTATTTGTCGAGTGCCTGCTGCATACCGGGCCCCATTCTAGGAGTGGGGCCTAGAGCACAACCTACACACGGTCCCTATCCCCGAGGTGGGAGCCAGCCCCATCTCTCCCTCCTCCCACCCCAGCACTGCGTCTGGTGCCCTGGGTGTCCCCAGAGCAATGAAGAAGGGGATGGGTGCTGGAGAAGCTGGGTCAGGGCCGACCTCCTGGAGCCTGAGTTGGGCCAGAGGCCTGGGAATCACATGCTAAAGAGGCCACGGCCTCCACGGCTGGCTTCCCCAGGGCACACATCCAGGTGGCCACAAGCCTCGCTCTCCTGGGTACGGGAGGAGGAAGCCCCGGCTGCTCCCCCTGGACCCACTGATCCCAGAAGGGGGCTGTTTAGCAAATGGAGCACAGACATTCTGAAGCCCTGCTTCCTATTCTTGACCACTGCACTGTGAGGCTTGGAGCGAGTGGCTAGACCTCCCCGTGCCTCCACAGCCTCATCTAGAGGAGCTGGGGCTGTGTTCACCAGGTGAGGGCTTGAGGGGCATTGGGCAGGAGGTGGACGTACTGGCCATGGCTGCTGGGACCTGAGCAGGTGGTTGGCAGGTAGGGTCTCACCTGTCCAGGCCTCCATTCTCCAGGTCTCGGAACTCTGGGTTGGTCCAGGTGGAAAACTTCTCCAGGATATAGGCAGCCAGGCCCACGGGAGAGTCATTCAGAGCACAGCCTGGTGTGAGGAGAAGTGAGGGAGGAACTCAGGCCTGGGACCAGTGAGCAGGCCGCCAGGTCATGGGGTGATGCAGCTCTGCCCTAACTCCTGGGATGCTCGTGCACCCCCCATCTACATAATCCTCGGCCTTGGAACTCCCATCTGGGAAAAAGTGGGGGTACTGCCCCCACTGCTTCTGGGGGATCCATCCATTGCATGGGGAGCTTCGGGGGACCCCGATAAGAAATATGTATGAACGCTGTTTTTAAAAAAGTGCTGTTTGGGGGCACCTGGCTGGCTTGAGATCAAGAGCATACGACTCTTGATCTTAGAATTGTTGAGTTTAAGCCCCACAATGAGTGTAGAGGTTACTTATATAAATAAATAAACTTTTTTTAAGAGGTGGGGTTTTAAGTTTATACGCTCAGATTAGTGAAAAGTAAGAAAGAACCTGAAAGTCCAAATTAGGGGAACAGTTACAAATGAATATTGATGCCCTCCAGCCCCCCAGTCCTGGAGCTGCTGGGCCCCCAAGTTCCCTCCCCGACTCAAGCTCAGGGCGCAGGGGTCAGGGGACCAGGGCATGGTGCCCACTGAATCAGCTCACACAGGCGTCTGGAATGTTCCGGCCATGCACTGGCTGACCTATGCCCAGAAATGCCGCGAGAAACAGAGTTCGGTCCCTCCCGGGAGGTTTTCACCCTGTGAGCAGCATTGCTGGGGCAAGTGAGGGCCCCTGGCTGGCGCCTGGCTGGGTGCATGGAAGGGTGTAGGCACCTCCTGGGAGGAGGCTGCAGTGTCCTGAGCGTGTGCTCACCCACAGTGTCAGGCTTGGTGCACTGGATGTGCATGTAGCCGCTCTCCCTTATCAGGCTGTAGAAAACCTTCTCCTTGAAGGGGTACAACAGCTCCAGATCCCTCTGGGTGTAGCCGAGAAGACTCAAGATACGCCGTCCCAAGAACAGAGTCAGGATGTAGGGACCTAACACCAGAGCCATGTTCAAGTGCAGACCTTTCACGTGGCTGAGGGCAGACAGAGGGTCCAGGTGAGGCTGGCATCAGGGCTGGGGGAGGCCATGGGGCTGAGACCCTTGCTCTGGCCCCTTTGGGAATCTGTCCCTCTGGGGTGGCCACTGGACATGGAGGAAGGGGTTGGGAAGGAAAATACAGCTTCCAGAAAGTTGTGGTCTCTTCCAGGACATGGGCCACCAAAAAGGTCTACTTTCTGACTTTTTCCTCGTCTGGCTGGCCCTCTCTGCCTGTGCACCTGGCCCAGAGTCCCCAGCCCCATGTGATAGCAAATAGAAAGGGAATGCACGTCAAGGTGCCCCAAGCACAGCAGGGGGACGGGGGACCTTTCCTCCTCTCCTCTAGGCCCACAGGATGCGCTGTAGCTCAGACGGCACGTCCGGGCAGACCCTGTGGCCCTGCACAGATGGCCGTCTCACATGCCCAAGAGTGACCCTCACCTGGGTACCATCTGGGCCATGTTGGTACAGATCAGGGACCCCCAGTCCCCACCCTGAATGTAGAACTCCTGGAAGCCGAGCCGCAGCATCAGTTTATAAAAGATCCTGGCAGTGGCCACTGAATTCAAGCCTGGTTTGAAGGGGAAAGAGAAGAGAGTCACAGAGATGTCACTCCTGGGGCCCTCTCGGGCTCCTATGGAATTCCTCACTGGCCCCCTTGCCCCATGCTGGGGTGACAGCAGCTCACAGTGGGGGAGGAGGCATCTTAGGGCCCCTGGGAGTGCGACCCAGGGCTCAGCAGGCGGTGTGGAGAGAGGGGCAGTGCGTGGATGGCCAAGCAGTGAGGGTGCACGGGCTTCGGCCAGCACCGGTGAGGTTCTGTGGGCTTGTACTCCCTGCGGGGCTTGGTGAGCCTTGCTGGCCCAGACGTGGACCTGCTGCCGTGCGGGGAGCTCCTGAGGGCGTGAGAGTCCAGGCGCCCGGGCTAGCACTGGCTGCTCAGGGCCGCGGCCCTGCCCGCCCCTCACCCACTGCACACGGCAGGGCCTGGGCAAGTGCATGGGCCATCCGAAGGGAGCCGTCCCAGCCCCATGCCCGCCTGCGTGAAGACCTGGCCCCCACCGGCGCCCCCCACCTCCCTACCTTTTTTGGAGGATGCCTCCGAGAAGCTGTAGCCAGGAATGGAAGGGCAGATAACTTCAAAAACATGCTCGTCGCTCAGCCCATGGTTCTTGGGGTCAGTCAGGAGCGGGATGATCTTATAGAACTCGTAGAAGGAGCCAGGCCAGCCGTGTACCATCAGCAAGGGCTTTGGGGTGCTGCTGGACGGCAGCTGGGGGGGCTTCACGTGGATGAAGTGGATGTCCAGCCCTGGGGGACAGAGCACAGTCAGCGCAGGGTGGAGAGGACCCCAGAGCCGGGGAGGCTGCAGCCCCGGCCCTCAGCGTGTCCACCCAGGCTGTGCTCCCTCCAGAGCTCAGCCAGCAGGTGCCACGCCCCCAGGGCCCCATGGCAGCGGCCACCCACCGCTGTGCACCCACCCCATGCTCCAGCTGCACAGGTGCCCCTCCTGGCCTTCACAGGTGCCCTGCAGGGGACAGACCACTGCCATGCCCCTTACCCAGCAGATCATGAGCCCTGTGAGGCCAGGGCCGGGCTGTTCACACACTGCCAAGTTCCCAGAGCCCAGAACACTTCGTGGCTCATGGTGGCACTTGGCAAATGCTGCTTAATAAAGACAGGGTGGTGGGGTGCCTGGCTGGCTCAGCCCATAGAGCATGCAACTCCTGATCTCGGGGTCCCCACGCTGGGTGTCAAGGTCACTTAAAACTAAAAAAAAGAAACCTTAAAAAAAAGGAGTAGGGGAAAAAAACCTGTATATTGTAGCATTAGAGGCTGCAACAGATTATAGTTTACACTGTAATACAATACACCTGTTTAAGATGACAGTGCAAATATGTATTCATTTAACATATAAAACAGTTCAAAGTGGTCAAAGCAAATTACCAAGCCAAATATCTAATTTTTGAAAGCAGTCCTATGTGTGCATATTTATACACCGTGTGTACATGAACTGTATGTGTATGTATATGTATGGATAGGTAAGTATATGAACTCATATGTATATAAAATTTTAAATTTGGAAGGATAAACTACAAATATATATAAAGTTGTCTCTGAGCAAGATAATTTCAAGTGTTAATTTATTTTTTTACTCTTTCTGTCCCTCCTAATTTTTTTAATTTTTAATTTTTTAAAGATTTTATTTATTTACTCATGAGAGAAACAGAGAGAGAGGCAGAGACACAGGCAGAGAGAGAAGCAGGCTCCATGCAGGGAGCCCGATGTGGGACTCCATCCTGGGTCTCCAGGATCACACCCTGAGCCGAAGGCAGGCGCTCAACCGCTAAGCCACCCAGGTGTCCCCTCCTAATTTTTTGAAAAAAGATTTTATTAATTTATTTGAGAGAGAGAGTACACATACCAGCAGGGAGGAGGGGCAGAGGGAGAGGGAGAAGCAGACTCCCTGTGGAACACAGAGCCCAAATGCAGGAATCGATCCCAGGACCCAAGATCATGACCCAAGCTAAAGGCAGATGCTTAACCCACTGAATCACCCGGGCACTTCTGGATCTCCTAATTTTTCTATAAGGGATGTAAATTCAATGCATAACTTTTTAAAGTGGAGAAATGTTTTCAAGGTTGAGTCGAGTGCTGGACCCTTGGAACACATCCAAGCCAAGGGTGGGCAAGTGGGTTCCAGGCACCCCCGAGCCCCTCTGAGGGCAGTCTGTTCCCAGTCAGGTAGATGGCCCAGAGAGCGCCTGGAGACCTGCACCATGACTAGCTAATGTTCTGGTCAGTTGTGAATTCATTACATAAATAACATATGTTTACCATAAGAAATGGAAAACAGATAAATCAAAAGGGGGGAAAAGCACATGAAGAGAACATTGTGTTCTCTTTCCAGAATTTTAAACATAAATCTGTTATTTTGGAACAATTAAAAAAAAATAATCCTGATGCCCAACGTGGGGTTTGAACTCACGACCCCAAGGTCAAGACTAGAACGTTCAGGGCACCTGGGTGGCTCAGCGGGTTAAGTGATCGACTCCTCGGCTCAGGTCGTGATCTCGGGGTGGAGCCTACTTAAAAAAAAAAAAAAAGGCCTGTGCTCCACTGACGGAGCCAGCCAGGCGCCTTTATTCTGGAACAATTTCAGATTTATAGAAAAAGAGTGAGGACAGTACAGGAAGTTCCCACGAACCCACACCCAGCTTCCCTGTCATTAATGGCTTACGTTATTCCGGTACATTTGTTACAAGGAATGAACCAGTACTGATGCGTTAATGACTCCATTAAAGTCCATAATTTCTTCAGATTTCCTTAGTTTTAAAAACATTTTTATTTTTATGGTAGTAAGAATATTTAATAGGAGACCTCCGTCCTCACAAACTGTTAAGTGTGCTATCAACAGCGGGCATGCCGCAGCCCGGGATGTTTCTAGAACTTAGGCATCTGGCAAAACTGAGACTCTATACCCCTTACCGAGCATTTCCCCGTCTCTTCATCTCCCCCGTCCTGGCCCCCACTCAGCCCCCTCTGCTTCTATGAGCTTGGCAATTCGGGATCCCTCCACAGGCGGGATCATGCAGAATTTGTCTTCCTGTGACTGGCTTATTTCACTCTGCAGAATGTCCTCCAGGTTCATCCATGATGTCCCCTCGGGCAGGGTTTCCTTCCCTGCAAAGGCTGAATAACACCACTGTCCACAGACGGTGAATACAGCTCAGATGTCCTTAACTTTTACCTAACATCCTGTTTGTGTTCCAGGATCTCATTGAGGACCCCATGTTGCTTTCATGTCTCCTTAGACTCCTCTGGATTGGGACAGTTCAGACTTTTTTTTTTTTTTTAAGATTTATTTATTTATTTTAGAGACAGGGGGTGTTGAGGGGGAGAGGGAGAGAGAATCCCAACCAGACTCTGAGCTGAGCATGGAACCTGACATGGGGCTCGATCCCACGACCCTGAGACCCTGAGATCCTGATCTGAGCTGAAACCAAGAGTCAGATGCTTAACGGACTGAGCCATTCAGGTGCCCCGCAGCTCAGACTTCTTAAAAAACAGTCACAGATTATAACCTTCTTCAAACAAAACCAGAACTCTACATACATTCTATTTTGTAACATGTCCTTCTATGTTGCTATATTTACGCCTGGTTTGAAGTTCATTTCAGAAGATATCCTTACCTCCTTCGGGACACACTGCACAATGTGATATGATTTCCAATTCAAATGGTCACACTGTCATCTGAGGGAATTCCACACAGATGCACAGGTGCTGGTGTGCACAGCAATGCCTAGAAGCATGTGTGCGAGGGAACCAGAAACTGTCCCGGGGTGGGAAATGCTGGCTGGGGGAAGGGTTGAGACAGAGATTGCCTTTTCACTGCTTCCTTATAGACTTTTTGAGTTTTAAATATTTGAATTTTAGAAATGAAAAAAAAATGTTAAAAGCCCATACTTCCTAAATATGGGGGTTTCCCTTGGAGGAGGAAGCAAGTCCCCTCAACCTCACCCGCCCCTGTTTCCGGCAGATCTATGGTCTGCAGCATGCTGCAGGGTGTTGCACGCCCAGCTCTGAATTGGGACCGCCATCCTGGGGAGGGAGCTGAACTGCACATGGGGTTGGTCGCAGCCCTCTGGGACGACTCAATGCCCAAAGTCGCCCCCTTTTGGAGCATCTGCACTGTTCTTCGCTGTGATGCCCTGGGGAACCCAAGATGGTCCAGGGGGTAAGGCTTCTTGAGCCTGCAGCCTCCAGGAAGGGAATAGCCCCCTAGGGTTTCTTGCCGCTGGATGTTTGGAGGTGCTGGTTCCTCCTCTTGGACTACCTTCCTCACATTAGTGGCAAACTTCTATTTATCCTTTAGGTCTTAGCTTAGATGCCACCTCCTCCAGGAAGCCTTCCATTACATTTCCAGGTGGCAGTGGGGCTCATGAAGCTCCCAGAGCCTCCTCCCTTGCAGAACCCCTCACCCTGTACTGTAAAGGTAAGCATCACCCCTGAAAGAAGGCAGGGACCCTGTTCTCTGCACCCAAAACGCCTGGATGCAGGAGGTACCCTGTCAGCCTCTAACAGACGACCAGTGAAGAGATGCAGCAACAGAGTGATCTGAATCAAGATGAGGAAACCAGGCAATGTGGCACCAGAGATGCGAAAGGCAACATTTGGAAATTTCATACAAAGATCTATATGTACTTTGGCTTGGATGAAGTGGCTCAGATTCTCTTGTGAGGCTCATGACGAAGATATCCAAGTCCCTGAAGGGTACAGCAACAACTGCTTTATGTTTAAAATTAGTCCTCATCTCATTAGTTACAAGTTTAGAAACCTAGCTCTATATTAGGCCTCTGAGTTCAACTTACAAATATTATCCTCTCTATATTGCTAAAATGTTATTATTCTTTTTAAAAGATATTATTTTTAAGTACTTGCTACATCCAATGTGGGGCTCGGACTCACCACCCTGAGATCAAGAATCACATGCTCCACCAACTGAGCCAGCCAGGTGCTCATGTATATTTATTATTATTTTTAAATATTTTATTTATTTATTCATAAGAGATACAGAAAGAGAGACACAGGCAGAGGGAGAAGAAGCAGATTCCACACAAGGAAGCGGATGCAGGACTCAATCCCCGGGAATCCGGGACCAGGCCCTGAGTCAAAGGCAGACGCTCAACCACTGAGGCACCCAGGCGTCCCCTGTATATTTATTTTTTTTTCCTGTATATTTATTAATCTAAGCAGTGTTGAGAGTTATTCTCCAGAGGCCTTTGATTAATGAATGTTTGCATTTTTAAACTTGCTTTAAACATGGTATAATTTCAATTTCCTTTTTAAGAACTTTAGTTGATCTGCCTGACTGATACATCTTCCACATACTTTAAATTTAAGAATTTTAATAAATTTATGACTGTGGTAAAGCCTAAATCTTCCAACACTTCATGTAAACTCAGGAAGATTTTCACATAAAATCTGAATCCATTACTCAGTTACACACTCTCAGTTATAACTCAAAAGTCCATTACTTGGGGGACTCCTGGGGTGGCTCAGTGGTTGATCATCTGCTTTCAGCCCAGGGTGTGATCCTGGGGTTCCAGGATCGAGTCTCGTATCGGGCTCCCCGCAGGGAGCCTGCTTCTCCCTCTGCCTGTGTCTCTGCTTCTCTCTCTGTGTGTCTCTCATGAATAAATAAAATCTTAAAAAAGTCCATTACTTGAAAAGGCCAAATTGTCTTGAACATTACAAATATTTAAAATTCCAAAAATGCAGTTTCCTTAACATGAACCACCAAATAGTATGACAACCCACAGGATGTGAGCAAATATTTGCAAATCCCACAGCTCATATGGGACTGATAGGCAGAACAAGAGAAAGCCTCAAATCCAGCAACAACAAAAACCCAACTATCTCTTCAAAAATGGGCAAAGGACTTGAACATTTTGCTAAAGAAGATATACAAATGGCTGGCAGTGCAAGAAAAGATGCTCAATCTCATTAATCATTAGACAATCATGCATCAGAACCACAATGAGACGCTGCAGTGCGCCCATCAGGATGGCTAATGTCACGTGTTGCTCTTCCCGGAAACAGCCAGATGTGATCTCTGAAGATGGCTTGCTATTCACTTGACCCAGAAAAGTCATGCAAATCAGGAGGTTCAGATCTTAGTGTTCACTTTAACACAGGTAAGACTGCACAGACTAGCAAGGACAGGCATATCTGAAAAGCCACCAGGTACATGAGGGGTGTCGCTTTGCAGAAGCAGCATGTGCCACACCATCGCTGTGATGCTGGACTTGGCAGGTGTGCCCATACTGGACACAGGCTCGGGGCCCCAAGAAGAGTGCTAGAATTTTACCTCATGTATTTAAAAACACAGAGAGTAATGCTGATCTGAAGGGTTTAGATGTAGATTCTCTGGCCAGAGCACATCCAGGTGAGCAAAACCCCTGAGATGTGGTGCAGAACTCTCAGGACTCATGGTCAGACTAACCCATTGCATGAGCTCTCCCTGCGTCATGGAGACGGTCCTGACAGGAAAGACAAGATTGTTCCTAAACCAGCAGAGGAGGCTGCACGGAAGACAAAGACATCCCAGAAGAAGCTGAAGAAACAAAAGCTTATGGCCTGGGAGTAAATTCTGCATAAATTAAACACAAATAAAAGTTAAAAAAAAAAAGGATATAACAAGTGTTGGTAAGGACATGGAAAAATTGACAGTCTGGGGGTGTCGGGGTGGCCCAATCAGTTGAGCGTCTGACCCTCGGTTTCATCTCAGGTCGTGATCTCAGAGTTGTGGGATCGAGCCCCCACATCAGGCTCTGCACTCAGCATGGAGTCTGCTTGAGATTCCCTCTTCCTCTGCCCCTCTCATTTGTACTCTCTCTCCCTCTCTAAAATAACTAAAACAAACTTTAATAAAACCTAGCAGTCTTGTACACTACTGGTGGAGATTTAAAATCGTGCAAAAATAGTAAAATATGGAAAATAGTATGGCAGTTCCTCAAATAGCTAAACACAAAATTACTATTTGACCCAGCAATTCCACTTCTGGGCATCCCTCCAAAGCACAGAAAGCAGACACATGAACAGATACTTGTGCACCCACATGTTTGGCAGCATTATTCACAATAGCCAAATGTAGAGGCAGCCCATTCATGGACGGGTGAACGCATGAACAAAATGTGGTCTATCCATGTAATGGAATACTATGAAAGCCTTAAAAAGAAAGGGAAATCTGACACTTGCTACAAAACAAATGAAATTTGAGGACATTGTGCTGAGTGCAATAAGCCAGGCAGAGAACAAATATTGAATGACTCCACTCATAGGAAGTACTTAGGTACAAAATTCATACTTAAATTCACAGAGTGCAAAAGTAGAATGATTTTCAGAGGTGAGGGAGAGGGGAGAAATGAGGGCTTATTGTTTAACAGGGATGCAGTTTCAGTTTTGCAAAATAAGAAAGTTCTGAAGATGGATGGTGGGGATGGCTGCATAATGATATAAATGTGCTTACTGTCACTTTTCTGGGGTATTGCATACGACAACAGTCAAAATGGTCAACATTCTGTTATGTATATTTTACTATAGAAGAAAATAAATACATAAAAAAAGATTTTATTTATTTATTTGCAGGGGCAGAGGCAGAGGAAGAAGCAGGGACCTCCCCCACCCCTGCAACATGGGACTCAATCCCAGGACTCTGAGGTCATGACCTGAGCCAAAGACAGATGCTACACTGATTGAGCCACCCAGGCTCAGTAACACTATGAACTTGATTTTCCTAAACATTTCTATGTGTTTACAAAGATTTTATTATTTTACTTTATTATTACTTTTAAAAAGATTTTATTTTTAAGTAATCTCTACACCCAATGTGGGGCTTGAACCGACAACCCTGAGATCAAGTTGCATGCTCCACCGACGGAGCCAGCCAGGCACCCCAGCATTTCTGTTTTATTCTAAATATTTCTGGGGTTAACATATGCTTTCCCAAGAGACAAACAGATCAATGGAGCAGAACTGAGAGCCTGGAAACCAATCCAGGCATATATGGTCAACTAAACTTTGACAAGGGAGCCAAGAACACTCAATGGAGAGAAGATAGTCTCTTCAATTAATGGCGCTGGGATAACTGGATATTCACATGGAAAAGAATGAAGCTGGACCCCTACCTCACACCACTCACAAAAAATTAACTCAGAATGGACCAAAGACTTAAATGTAAGACCTGGAACCATGAAAGATCTAGAAGGAAATAGACACAAAGCTCCTCAACACGGGTCTTGGTGACAGTTTCTTGCACGTGACACCTAAAGCTCAAGCATCAAAGTAAAAAAATAAATAAGTGGACCAACATCAAACTAAAAAAGCCTCTGCACAGCAAAGGAGACCATCTACAAAGTGAAAAGACAGCCTGTGGGATGGGAGAAAATATGTGCAATCCTTACATTTGATAAGAGGTTCATCTCCAAAATACAGAAAGAACTTATACAACTCTGTAGCAGAAAAGCCACCCAATTAAAATGGGCAAAGGACCAGAATAGATGCTTCTCCAACAGACATGATGGCCATCCAGATGGCCAACAGACATGGAAAGATGCTCATCATCACTTAGCATCAGGGAAATGCAAATCCAAGCCACAGTGAGATCCCACCTCACACCTGTCAGAATGGCTAAAATTAATGACACAGGAAACAACAGGTGTGGACGAGGATGCAGAGAAAGGGGAACCCTCTTGCACTGTTGGTAGGATTGTAAATGGGTGCAGCCACTGTGGAAAACAGTATGGAGGTTCCTCAAAAATGAAAAATAGAATGGCCATATGGTCCAGCATTCCAATTTGGGGAATATATATATAAAAACGAACACACTAATTCAAAAAGGTATCTGCACCCCATGTTCACTGCAGCATTACTCACAGCAGCCAAGACACGGAAGCAACCAGTGTCTACGGATGGATGAATGGAGAAAGACATTGTGGTACGAATGTGTACAATGGAATATTATTCAGCCATTAAAAAACGAGGAAATCCTACCACCCGTGCAAACATAAAGCCTTCATTACACTAAGTGAAGTAAGCCCGACAGAGAGCGACAAATACTACAGGATCTCATGGATACCTGGAATCTAAAACAAAAACTAAAAGTGAACTCAGGAAAAGAGATGAGACATGTGGTTACCAGAGGCGGGGGGGGGGGGCGGAGGGAGGGGGTCAGGAGGTGCAAACCCCAGGTGCGAGGGTCGCAGGCACTGGGGGGTCACGTAGCGGACACTGCTGTGGGGTGCACACGGAAGTTAAGAGTCGATCCTGAGTTCTCACCGCCAGGATGAAAGTTTTTTCTCTCTTTGTCCTGTGTCTGCACGAGAAGCTGGGTGTGAGCAGGACCCGCCGCGGTGATGGTTTCACAACGACTATAAATCAACCCACCGCGCTGTACGCCTCACACTTACACCGTGAGGGATGTCAGTTATTTCTCAACAGGGGGGAAATGCGTTTCCACTGAGGGAACTGTGACCTCACCCCAAATGATCTTGAGGTTGCCTTGCCAAGACAATCTGGGAGGTCCCTGCCCTCCCAGGTGAAGCCCTCCCAGGTGCGGAACAACCTACCACACAGACGGACACGGGCTACAGAGCTGCCGACAGAAAGGGCAATACTTCTTCAGATCCCGACATATCCCTTGAGCAGCCCTCAGCAGACCTCACCCTCCCGAGGGCTGGAGCTGACCCATGCCACGTCAGGCCCACGACTCCGCTCCCTCCCCTCAAAGGCTGTCCCATCACTGGACCAGATTCTGCATTTCTTTGGCTTTTAAACTATTTATACGTTTTCCTGTCTTGCTCTAAGGCCCATTGGATTTGTTGGGATTCTGTCTCTTTCTGCTCCAGAGGTGACCCTGTAAATACCTCTTGAGGACCAGTATTTGGATTCTAAGTTGGGTCTGAGTCACATGGGCACCTGCCAAGGCTACCCCTGTGACATACCTCCCCCGGCAGCTGGTGCTGTGAACATACCTTCGATCTTAGTCTTGAAGTGAGGGTACCTGTTGAGAATCTCCACCTGCTTTCTCCAGTCAAACTCATTCCGCCAGTAGGAAAGGATTTTCTTCAGATACTTGGAGTTGAAGCCATAATGGAAGCGCCCATCCTCCAGAGGTGGAGTCAAACGGACCCTGTCGATCCTCTGATGCAAGTCCTGGAGCAAAACGCAGGGCAAAGCAGGTTTGGTTCCAGAAGACAGAGCAAACCCTGCAGCCACAAGACAGTGAGACGGGAGAGGCAAAGCTATGTCCCACGGGAGGGTGAGGAGGCTGCTGGTCTGCAGACGTGCACCCTGGGTGGTCGGGTTTACCCCAGAAGGAACCTCCATGTTTCCCACAACAGTGGCTGTTCCGAAAGACTATCCTCACTTTCTAAAACAATTTCTTTATTTGAGAGAGAGTGTGCATGTGTGCAATGGGGGAGGGGTAGGGGAGAGGGAGACATAATCCTGAGCAGACTCTGTGCTGAGCATGGAGCCCCACGAGGGACTCGATCCCACGACCCTAAGATCATGACATAGCTGAAACTAAGAGTCGGCTATTTAAACCAACTGAGCCACCCAGGCACCCTTATGTTCTCCTCCCTTTTTTAAAAAAAAAAAGATTTTATTTATTCATGAAAGACAGAGAGAGAGAGAGAGACAGAGAGAGAGAGGCAGAGACACAGGCAGAGGGAGAAGCAGGCTCCATGCAGGGAGCCCGATGTGGGACCGATCCTGGGTCTCCAAGATCATGCCACAAGCTGAAGGCAGCACTAAACTGGTGAGCCACCTGGGCTGCCCTGTTCGCCCCTTTTGACTTCACCTTTACTTCTCCTTCTGTTTTTAAACATATGAACAATACGCATTTTTAATTTATTGAGTCTTATGCGTGGTAGGGACCAGCAAGTTGTTTCTGTAAGAGGCCAGACAATAACTATTTTAGGCTTTTCAAGCTGCCTCTGGTCCACTCTGTCCTTGTAGCATGGAAGCAGCCACAGACCAGACGTGGACAAATGGACACGGCTGGGTTCCAATAAAACTTTATTTATGGACACTGAAATCTGCATGCTGTGTGATTTTCACATGTCACGAGACAGTCCTTTTTTTGATTATTTTCAGCCATTTAAAGATGTAAAAACTATTCTCAGCCTGGGGGCTGTAGAAACAGGTGGTAGGACGGATTTGTCCCGGGTTGTGGTTTGCACTGAGGAAAACACTGTAACTCAGCTCGAATCAGAAGGACTGACCAGGAGAGAAGGCGCAAGCCCCCTGGGCGAGCATCAGGGGAGAAGACCAGCCAGGACCGGGACGTCTCTATGGGCTCACAGGGCCTCCCGGGTGTCACCTGTAGCCAGTGTCCTCCCAAGCACTCCAGGCACACAGACTGGGATGTTTTAGACTGAGTCTGAGAACCCAAGGAAGGCAACATCCTCGGGGCCCAGCCTCCTGAATAGGAAGGCATCATCTATCCTACCCAAGGGGCCTCAGCCTGGTTTCTCTCTCGAGTGCAGCCCGATTTCTGCTTTTTGCAGAAATCTCACTTTTTGTTGGCACATTTTATGGCATCTATGCCTATGAATCCCTCAGTTACCCTTCCTCCATGCCCATTCCTTCTCTGGGCTACGGGACTGTGAGTTATTTGCTCTCTGCTCTTCTCCCGGCACCCAGCACGCACCTGTATACAGCAGGTGTTCCGATACGCACAGAAGGAGAGGAAGAACGGGTGAGGACGTCCTGGGTCCCACTCACCCTCCTGGCCCTGCAGCCCATCCCACTGGATACCACCCTCCCACCCAGAATCAGAAGGGTGGTGTGTGGTGTGTGTGGTGGAGGGACATAAGCACTGGAGTTGGACAGATCCGAGTTCAAATCCTGCTTCTCATCTTGGTCCCTGGGATAAACTGCTTTACCCTCTGAGCTTCAATTTCTGCATCTGGAAAGAGGAACAACAGTCCTCACTACAGGGATTGGATGTGACCATGAGCACCGGCACCACAGCAGGAGCGTAATCAGTGCTGGTCTGGGGTAGCTTCTCTGTACCTGAGCATTTGATGTCCCCATGGCCTAGCTTCTTACTCAGGAAGAACCTCCGCCCAGGTCCTGATGAAAACCTGCTGGCTTTGTCCTGCAAGCCTACTCCGAGGGTTTCAGAGGGGCCCAAAGGAGAAGGAAGCAACTGCTTTCCATGAGCTTTGATGCACATGCCAGGGGCCAGCTGGCACCCCCTCTCACCTGGGCGCTGCCGACCCATGAGCAGGGGGGAAGGAGGAGGCAGGGGAGGAGGGGGCAGAGGGGATGGGCAGATGGCGTGGGCCGGCCTCTGTGCACTGCCCGGCGGCGGGAGAAGAGCAGAGGGAGACCCATCCCTGGGCAGGTCCCCCCAGGACCCACGGGCGGGGCTTCTCTGCCCTCCACGCTGCTCAGTCCCTGCTCAGTCCCGCCTACAGACGGCACCCTACCTCTATCTCCTCCTCGGAAGTCTCCACCTTGAAGGGGCGGACGCTCTCGTCCTCCGGGGCTGTGGGCCTTGCCCCAGGTCCCCACCAGCCATCTCCCAGCGGCAACGTCTCCTCCTTGTCCCGGGAGACGAACCAGTAGATGACGAAGCCCAGCAGCAAGGCGAGGATAATTTCCAGCCACATGATTCCTGCAAGAGAGAGGCGTGTCCATCAGCCGCAGAGACCCCCAGGCAGGCCCTGACCCCGGCCTGGATGCCTGTCCCCACCTGCTCTCCCATCTAGCCCCTGGCTTCGGGTACTTTATTTTTTTACCCAAGATTTTATTTATTTATTCATGAAAGACACAGAGAGGCAGAGACATAGGCAGAGGGAGAAGCAGGCTCCCGGTGGGGAGCCCGATTAGGGCCTTGATCCTAGGACCCCAGGATTATGCCCTGAACTGAAGGCAGATGCTCAGCCACTGAGCCACCCAGGTGTCTCTCATTCTTTTTTTTTTTTTTTTTTTTTAAGTAAGCACCACGCTGGGCATGGAGTCCAAGGTGGGGCTCGAACTCACGACCCTGAGATCAGGACCTGAGCTGAGACCAAGAGTCGGACCCCTAACCAACTGAGCCCCCCAGGCACCCCAACTTCACATATTTCTGACCTAAGAAAAAGAATGTAAGCATCTGGAAGAATTGGAAAAGGAGAGAAAAAAGACAAGAGTCATCTACAACCACACTGAGCTATGAAATTCATCCTTCCAACTAGAAAAATATGAGTGTTGGGCGCAGGGGCTGTACTTCTGCGGCCGTGGGTTCCTCTGAGGCACCTCCAGCTCTGGAAGCTTCTCTCCACCCTCTTGAGTGCTCCCCCTCTAACCACCCAGCGCTGGACTCCGGAGCTCTGCCCCCTGCTGTCTCTGCCAGGGACCTGTCCCCATGCACACCAGGGACAAGCAGGCTCCCACGGTCAGGAAGCAGGCAGAGTGTGAGGTGGCCGGAAGATGGCCACACATCGCAGTTGTAATTTTAAAATAGCTTTAGGAGACAGAATTCATGTGCCATACAATTCACCTGCCTGAAGTGTACAATCTGGTGGTTCCTAGCACCTTCACAGTTCTGTGTGGCCGTAAGCACAATTCTAGAACATTCCACCACAAAGAGAGACTCCTTAGATCTCAGCCCCATACTGCCCCCACTGCAGCCCAGCCCAAGGCAACCACGAATCCGCTTCCTGTATCTGTAGACCTGCCTGGCACATTCCTAGAAGCTTCCCGATCCTGCTTGCCCTGAGGTTCCCTCTTGCCGCAGAAGTCCCCCTAAACGGGGCCACCAGTGGGCTGGTACTTGAAGTCCTGGTCTGAGGGCGCCTAGAACTCTCCAAGCTCCCTGCCCTTATTGCAGCACTGAGAGATGGCATGCCCCTTGCTGCCCTCACCCCAGGGACGCAGGGGCGGGGGTGTGCGCCTCCCCGATGTGGTGTCTGCTCGCTGTCTGGGAGGGTGACAGGCAGTGTGTGTGTGGGCTCACTGCCTGGGAAGGGAACAGGCAGTGTGTGGGGAAACTTCCTCAGGGCTCTGCTCTGAGCACCCCATGTCATTTGGCTCATCTAGTTATCTTAACGGTCCCATTTTACAGATGAGGAACTGAGGGCTGAGCAGCATGTCCAAGCCGGGAGGGCCCGTAAACGGAGGAGGCAGGTTGGAAAGCAGGCAGCCTGACCAGCAGCCCCAGCTCGAACAACAGCCTGCCCAGACCCCCTCTGCTCCCTGTGCTTGGTTACTCAGGCAAGAGTCCCTGTACATGGAACTGTGTGCCCCTGGAAGGGGCGCTAATTCAGCCCTAAATCCTCACTGTGGGGGCACCTGGGTAGCTCCACTGGTGAAGCATCTGCCTTCAGCTCAAGTCATGATCTCAAGGTCCTGGGATTGAGCCCCAAGTCAGACTCCCTGCTCAGCGGGGAACCTGCTTCTCCCTCTCCCTCTGCCTCTCCCCCTGCTTGTGTTGCTCTCTCTCTCTCAGATGAATAAATAAAATCTTTAAAAAACAAAAACAAAAAACCTTATTGTACCTTGTTTGTTAAAAAGATTTAAAAAAGTGGCTAGGAAGCACCTGGTTGGCTCAGTCCTTTGGAGCTTACAACTCTTGATCTCAGGGTCGTGAGTTCAAACCCCATGTTGGGTGGAGAGATGACTCAAAAATTAAACCTTAAAAAACATTTAAAAAGACCTAGAGGTGAGTACTGATAGAGCCTCACCTGTCCTGCCACAGAGCACCTGGGCCTTAGGCAGACCACGTGACTCTGCTCCAGGTTGCTGGGCTTATTGATGCAGCTCTTGGCCTTTGCCAGAACGTTCGCTGCTGGGCCTGTGGTGGGGGGTGGTGCTGGGCAGGTGGTTCTGGGAGCTAACTCAGCAGGAAGTTGGGCCCCATTTCTGTGCCTCAGAGCACCGTGCCCTGCAGGTGTCTCCCTACTTTTCCCTCCTCTAGCTAGGATGCAATCTATTTCTTGTGCCCAGCCCCCTTTGCCACATGCAGCATGCTCTGCACAGAGGCACTCAGAGCAGTGCAGCCACACCCTTGATGTGGCCGGGAGGCAGACTCAAGTCAGACATTTCCCTCTTCAGTGGCAGGTGTACGTGGAGCACACCATCAAAACCGTAAGGGAGGCAATTTCTAGAGAGAAACCAGGATAAATCAAAATCCAGGAGGACAATTTCCTACAATCTCTCTGGAAAACTGGTAGAGTCTACTAGAACTGGACGTTTACAAAGTCTATGCCTCTGCAATGCACCCGTAGGTATAGACCCAACCTAAACATGCCCACGTGTTTGCCCAAAGCCATAAACCAGAACGTTCACAGCAGCTCTATCCATGGAACCCTCAGATGAGAAACGACCTACGCACCACCCGTCACAGACTGGTGTCATCACGGTGGTATGCCATGCCAGAGGACGAACCGTCTATGCTGTACACACGACATGTGACCCCACAGACAGGGCCAAGCCAAAGTAGCCAGACACAGAAGAGCACACATTGCACAAGTCCCTTTATATAGAGGTCAAGCAAAACTATAATCTGTGATGAAACACAGATGTTTTCCTCTGGTGGTGGCAGCCGGGGTGCAGCACTCACATTTTTGAAAGCTACACAGAGATTACAATGTACAGAAGGGACAGGTCTGTACGCAGCCTGGGGAAGAGACATGAAGATCATGGCTTGGTCAGGTGCACGGAGTTGTCGCTGCAGGAACCCTGTTAGGAGCCTGGGGTGTCCACAGTCACGGGCCTCCCGAGCCTGCATGCTGTCCCCAACTGTGGCAACCCGCCTGGGCTCTCTCTACTAAGCAAGACCTCCTGATTCAGAAGTCACAGGTAGCCTGATTTCTGGGAGGGGGGGGTGCGCGCAGAACAGACTGATCACTGGGTTCCCTGGTGGGTGGCACACTATCTTCCAGCCCCACTGCACACCAAGTAACATGCGAACCCCTTGTGGGTTTGGGGAAGCATGGTGGACCATCTGGTGTTACCATACAAGGGCCCAGCCTGGTTTTCCTGGAGAACCCCCATTCCAGGGGACCCCTGAAGTCTAACTACCATGACATTAAGAACTGGAACATCTTGGAGTTTACAAAAAGGGAGCCTCTGCTGTTTCCAGTGGTTGGAATCCCAGTGCCACCACTTAGCAGGAAACCATTCGGAGCATCTGTGGCCTTGTCTGTAAGATGGAGATAAAAGCGCTGGCTCAAAGCAGGTGCTCTGCCAGTGTGTTCCTTCCCTTCCCCCTAAGTCCTGTCTTACTGTGTGGAATCTTCAGGCTGGAAGAGACCCTAGAGCCATGCTGCAGCCCATGTGCACAACAGGCTGCGAGACTTGCTTGGTGCGTGCATGGCATGAACACCTGTGGTCTGGGAGTATCTGCTCCCCGCGGACGTGACTTGGGAGGAAGATGGTATCGTGATGGATACCCCTGGCTATCAGCATCCTGCAACACATGTCCCTGGGCAGGAGATGCCTGTCTATTTCCGTCTGTCATGAGGCTCCCGCAGTCAGCTCCTGCTGGTGTAGAAAATACTCTACCTCCTTCAAAACGTGGATGTTTGGGAGCTACTGTGAAAACATCAGAAGTAATGCTCTCCAGGGCCAGCGTGCCTGCTTCGTGGTGTGGGCTCCTGACACCACAGCCAGGGCGGTGAGCTCCGAAAGCTCCGGCGCCTATTCCATCCAATTCCGTTGTTCTGTGTTGTTCATTTTGTAATGCACTTCCCCAGAACACAGACAAAATGCTCTGCTGGGAGAGCCACGGGGCAGGGGGCAGAGGGGGGAAGGCCTCTGATTGAAAGCATTTCGTCCTTGGAATCAGGCTACCCTCCCTAAAAAATGATTAGCCTGCCTTGTAAGGAGAATGTAGTTTTTATTGTAAACCAGCGTCATTTCTTTCTTTTTAGCATAATCACTGGAGGACGATGGTCATTTAGTTACAGGAGACTGCTCAGAGGGACCCTGACAACTCAGATAAGAAATGAGGTCGTGCAGAGTGGAATTCTCCAAATTCTACACTGAGGTCAAGTTCTGGGCACATACTCATGAAACTAGGGGGGAAAAATCAGGGATCAGTTTAGCATGAAGCAGTTCACTGAGTAACATGGTGACCTTAGAACTGAACATAAAAGGGGCACCTCGGTGGCTCAGTGGCTGAGCATCTGCCTTCAGTTCAGGTCATGATCCTGGGGTCCTGGGATAGAGTCTCACATCAAGTTCCCTGCAGGGAGCCTGCTTCTCCCTCTGCCTGTGTCTCTGCCTCTCTGTGTGTGTCTCTCATGAATAAATAAATAAAATATTTTTAAAAAAAGAGAACTGAGGGCAGTCCCAGTGGCGCAGTGGTTTAGCGCCGCCTGCAGGCCAGGGCGTGATCCTGGAGACCCTAGATCGAGTCCCGCGTCGGGCTCTCTGTATGATGCCTGCTTCTCCCTCTGCATGTGGCTCTGCCTCTCTCTCTCTCTCTGTCTCTATGAATAAATAAATAAAATCTTTTAAAAAAAAGAGAGAACTGAACATGAAGTACTTGAAAGTGATGAGGGATGCCCATGGAGCAGCGGATTCGCCTTCTCCTGCCTTCCTGCGCCTGACGTACAAGGCACAATGCTAAATACACAAGGTCAAGTAAAGTAGGTGCTTACATCTCCGGCCCAGGTGCAGGAAACATCCGTCTAATAGTTTAAATGAAGCTGTCTTTCTGTTCTGCTCAAGGCAGAAACACAAGTTTCCGAACAGACGATTCATTTAAGGAACAACATTGAAAGCTCAAGTCGACTCTTTTGTGACTTGAACTTGGTCTGGGAGGTATCCGGAAGTCATTTAGTCCTTTAAAGCAGGTAACAGATCTGGACTGGCGCCTTGGAAAGGTAAATAGCAGTTTGCTTTCTGGACCACAGATGAGCTCAGCAGTCACCACGTGTGGGTGACAAGGAGCTGGGTTCTTTGCAGGCACAAGGGGTAAGCAGGAGGAGGTCCTGTCCCAGCAGGGCAAGTGGATGGACAGCACCACCCTTCCAGTGACAGACACAAAGGATTCTCAAGGAGGGGGTCACAGAGCAGAGGCTTCAAGGATAAATAGGACTTCACTAGGCAGAAAGTAAGAAAGCACACGCGTGAGTGAGGAGCCACAAGGGTCCACACCCGTGTCCGGCATAGGCGTTGAGTTGCGAGCTGCAGGGTGCAGTCTTTGCACTTCGGTCTGCACCAGATGAATGGGGTCCCTGCCTCTCTCGTTTGTAAATTGTTAGTGCATCATGACGAAGCCAGGAGTTCCAGCTCAGAAATCAAGGCGGCTGTTCCGATGACCCTTCTGTAGCTGATCAGCCGAGTCTCCAGGGCGGGGTGAGGAAATGTGCCTGGGGAGGTGAGCGCATCACAGCCACGTGAGACAAACGTGGCCTAGCCCCGTGACTGAAAACCCAGCACTCTGCCCTCGTGGCCTGTAGGGAGCTGGATGATCAGCAAATGTGCCCTCGGACTGACGCAGAGTGGTGAGTGGCCAGCTACGTTCTCTCCTTCTTTCCTCACTTGGGAGTTTTATTTCAGTTGGTAAAGCCCAGCCACACACCATTTCTTGGCCCTCCCTGCAGGTCAGTCTATGGTGTGATCATGTGCTGACAAAGAGCTGTAAGTGTACCCGGGGCAGAGCCAGCCATGGCCCAGACAGCATTTTGTGTGAATTAGGAAAAGACACCCATTCTTCAAAACACGATTAGAAAATTAATCTAATATACTGCTTTGGTTGTAAGATGCCTCATTGCCATCTGCTAGGAAGGACTTGTAAATAAATACACAGATCCATGATGTGGATGACGTGCACGGCATCCTCTAAGATTGCACAGTGCACAGTCCGCACAAGGGTGCATGGGTCCTGCACAAGTGTGGAAGACCACATAAAGAGCGCTGACTCAGCTGGGAACCACTCACCTTTTGCCCTTCCCCTTCCTTCTTCATGCCTCCTAGGATACAGGTGCGATGCTTGGACTCTGGCAGCCATTTTGGGCTGTGAGGTGATCTTGAGGAGAGAGGTCAATGCTAGGACAATGATGGAGATGTTGGGTTCCTGCTGCCCGTGGCGCCAGCAGCCCAGTCCTGGATTATTTACTCCAAACTTCCTTCATGTGACAGGTAAACAAACTTTTATATTGTTGAAGCCACAGTCACTTTGAGTTTCTATTACACAGAGCCTAGCAGCACCCTAATTGCAAAAGTCAGGGGGCAGAGAAAATAGATCCAGTCCCCCCTCTCCCCGTGGATAAACTCTCAACAACAAATGCTCAGTCTTCAAAATGTTCTGTGCTGTATTCGTGCTCCATGGCTGAGACATTTATCCGATGACCAAACATCCTCCTGCAGCCTGACCAAATAAAAGATATGTTCTCAAAAGAAAGGCATGGCAGCACAGTGGTTGGGGGGCGGGGGTCCTGGGAATAGGCGCCCTCATCCCTCTTGAGGACAGAAAAGGGTGTCTTCCCACTTGGCCACAGCATTCAGGCTGCTTTTTTGCATGATAAGCAATTCTGTGACATCTGTCAAAATGTAAAACTCGGGGATCCTTGGGTGGTTCAGCAGTTCAGCATCTGCCTTCAGCCCAGTGTGTGATCCTGGGGTTCCGGGATCGAGTCCCACGTCGGGCTCCCTGCATGGAGCCTGCTTCTCCCTCTGCCTGTGTCTCTGTTTCTCTATCTCTCTCTGTGTGTCTCTCATGAATAAATAAAATCTTTAAAAAAAAAATCTAAAACTCATGTGGTCCCTGCCCAGCTCTTCCGGGCTGGAGTTCCTTTCTCCAGAGCACTGAACTTGCATTTATAGAAACTGTCATATGCTCAGGAGGATTTGCTGCAGATGTTCCCTCCTGGTAAGAAGGAAGACTGCAAACAACCTGAATGTCCACCAGCTGGGGATGGAAATAAGAGACGGGTTTATCGATCCAATCTAGGGCAGACCTCCCCAGATGCGCCCCTTCGGCACAGTGACTATTTTAAATAAAAGTCACTTACGAGACAGGAGGTGCTTTGAGTCTCAGACCCTTCTCTGCCCCCCCACCCCAAAAGCAGGAAACAAACCTCCCATGTGAAAAATGCCCTTCCTGTTAGAAGAAGGAAAAAGATACCTGCACCGCCAGAGATGTGGACCTGAGGGCCCAGAAAGCTGATGATGTGTGTCTCATCTTCTAGCCTTGGTCTACATTCTGATTAGGATTCCCCGTTGCTCAAAAACACCCGTCTTCTTTATCCTCTCAATTCCTCACAAATTTATTGTCTCTTTGTCTAAAAGTATAAAAACTATCTGCCTTGGTCAAGATCTCCCTGATAGTTAAATGAGAACAGCCGGCATACTAAACGGTGCACCTGCATGGACCAAAAACACAAGCTGTGGACAGTGGCAGTTCACTTGGATGCCCAACACAAGGGAACAATCTTTTTTGCTTTTTAAAGATTTTGTTTATTTATTTGAGAGAGAGTGAGAGGGCATGCAAGCAGGGAGGAGCAGAGGGAGAGGGAGAAAGTATCTTCAGCAGACTGTGTTCAGCACAGAGCCCCACACAGGGCTCAATCCCATGACCTTGATATGACCAGAGCCAAAATCAAGAGCCAGATGCTTAACCGACTGAGCCACCCAGGGGCCCCACGAGGGAACAGTCTAGCACTGAATAAGCTTTTATATCTTGAAAAGAAATAATCTTTTACCAAATGCATGTACTATCTACTCAAAAACAACATAATCATACATCTCTTACATGACAAACCATGAAGGTGACAGTCTGCCCTGTGACTCAACTTCAACAGTGAGTCAGACACCCTCTTGACACCAGAGCCACACAAGACCTGCTCACGTGGCTGGGATCCCACTGTGTGATTTCCTCGTGGCCAAGAACCTGACGGCCCATGGGCCTCTGAGGGCCAGCGGCAGGTGGGAATGTGAAATAAATGGGTAAACAAAGCTGATCAGGTGGCCAGAGAACTGTGTCCACATGGCGCAATCCTTTCTGTCCACGTGGCTCCCACTGCCACCTGCCCGGGTCTAACTGGGACCCCAACGCCCACCTGCCCACCCACCTGCTCCCGAATATCTCAAACCCTCCTCTGCTTCATCTACAGCTGCTCCGCAATCTTCTCCCCCTAAACCTTTGTCTTCTTCTGGGGTTCCCGCTCACCCAGTAACGGAGACTGCCCACTTCCCGAATGCCACACCAAAAGCCAGGAGACATCCTTGAACCCCCTCCTACACTCCACCCACGTGGATCCACCCTACTGGCAAGTCCAGCAGCTCCACATCTGAGATAATCTCAGATTCACCTCCAGCACTGTCTCCCCTGGACCCAAGCAGGGCCCCTGTCCACTTCTGTCACACGTGCTCTTGCCCCCTCCCACACACTCTGCAGCCACAGTGCTATTCTGGAAATCCACCTGACCACCTCATGTCCCTTGTTAGAATCCGAATCCTAGGATAGGCGTGCCTGGGTGTCTCAGTGGTTGAACGTCTGCCTTCAGCCTAGTGCGTGGTCCTGGAGTCTTGAGATCGAGTCCCACATTGGTCTCCCTGCATGGAGTCTGCTTCTCCCTCTGCTTGTGTCTCTGCTTCTCTCATGCATAAATAAATAAAATCTTAAAAAAAAAAATCCTAGGATAACTTCCTGTTGCCTTTGGAATGGAGTGACACCAGCTCACCCTTCAAGATCTATAGGGTCTGAGCTGCCCCCCACCCCCTTGTCCTCTCTGAGCCCAGCCCCACCTTCTTGGCATCCGTTGGGCCTATGACGCTCCCTCCTTCCTCAGGGTTTTGCCTGTCCCTCAGCCTGCAGATCTCTTCCCTCTCCTCAGCTTCCTAACTCCTGCTCATCCTTCCAATTTCAAACCAAGCGTCCATTTCCCAGCAGCCTGCCCTGACCTATCTCAGCACGGAGTGCCTCTCATCCCTAGCTCAGGTCATGGGCTCATCTGTTCGACATTCTACAGTATAGGCCACCCCCGCTGGAAGGAAGCTCCTTGAGGGTAGAGACCATGTCTGCCTTGGCCGCCCTCTGGTCCCCACCATCTGGCACGCCCTGGGTGCTCAGGATGTATTGTCGAGTGAATGAATTTAAATATTCTTCGAATGACAGTGTTAAAAATTATTAGAACTTTTATTTTTTTTTTAATTTTTTTTAATTTATTTATTTATGATAGTCACACACACACACACAGAGAGAGAGAGAGAGAGAGAGAGAGGCAGAGACACAGGCAGAGGGAGAAGCAGGCTCCATGCACCGGGAGCCCGATATGGGATTCGATCCCGGGTCTCCAGGATCGCGCCCTGGGCCAAAGGCAGGCGCCAAACCACTGCGCCACCCAGGGATCCCTTATTAGAACTTTTAAAAAAGATTTTATTTACTTATTTGACAGAGAGAGAGCACAAGCAGGGGGAGCAGGAAAAGGAGAGGGAGAGGGAGAAGCAGACTCCCCAGTGAGCAGGGAGCCCCATGTGGGGCTTGATCCCAGGACCCTGAGATCATGACCCGAGCCAAGGGCAGATGCTTCACTCACTGAGCCACCCAGGCGCCCCTAGAACTTTTGAACAAAAATATGTCTGAATTCTCCCAGAGGAGTTATATATAACCTACTTCTCAGACTACTCTGTAGACACTGGCCGTAAGATGCAGGGAGAGGGTTCGGGGGGTGGCAGGGGGTGTTATGGCAGATTTCTCCCAGAAGCAAGAGTGGACCGCCAGTATGCCAGGTGGACTGCACATACCAGGGTCTGGATTTAAAAAGGTGAAGATCAGACTCAAGACCCTGGAGAATGCAATGGGGTATCTTCAGCCTGCCCTCAGAGACCCCCCGTCACACCCAGGCCGGTGGGAGAGAACCTCACGATCAGCAGGTGCTCCCAAGTGGCCTGACAGACTCACAGGAGAGGGAGGACCTCGGGAACAGGGACAGGGAACTCCAGGGCAGAGCGAGGGGAAAACAGTGGCACCACGAGCCTTTCTGATGCCTGGCCAGACAGCACGGTGGGCTCGGTGGTCCGCATGCTCCCCCAGGCCCGGGCCCTTGGCTGCCCTCCCCAGTCTCGCCACTCCACTCCGGAGGATGGCAAAAGGAACATCGAAACAGATGGTTTCCCTTCCATGCCAGGGCCAGCCTGCCAAGGCAGCAAGGAATGGGAATGTTCCTGCCGCCAACACATTGCTGACGGCCACCCAAGCCCAGGGGCTTCCCGAAGTTCCCTGAAATCCCCAGGCCCTGCTCGCTGCAGCCCAGACCGCCTACCCTCCGCCCAATCCGGGTGGCAGTTGGCCCCACGGAGTGGGAAAGCCCTGGAGGGGAGGACACTGGCTGACGGCATAGCCTCTGCCCCACAGACGTTGCCCCCGGCCCCCTGGGGCCCACGGGGCCGAGCAACATGCCCGTGCACCTGCCCCGGGATCAGGCCGTGTTCACCTCTCTGCAAGACCCAGAGCGAAACCTGGGAGAACAACCTGGAGCCAGGACCCCAGGGAAAGGAGAACCTCACTTCTCTAGGCCTCACCAAACTGGGGGGATTCAAAGCATTCCATCAGGTGAAGGGGGGTGCACCCATACGGGCAATCACTTAGGGTTTTCAGTCCTCAGAACACAACGGGTGGGAGAGAGGGATGCAGGCCAAGGCTAAGTGCTCCCTGGGCCAGGACAGGAAGCTGAGGGGTGGTCCTGGGAGGAGGGTACGGCAGGGGGTTCCCGGGGAGTAGGGGGGAAGGCAGACTTTGGGGGGCTGTTGGTAGGGGAAGGGAGGAACCCTGGCGGGGCTGGCCGACCCCTGTGCACTTGTACACACTTAGCCTCCCGAGCGGAGGCCACTGTAGACTCATCTACACAGCCCCCCCACTCAGGCCTGAAGCCGAATAATGCAGGGGAGGGGGGGTGCATCCCCACACTGGGGCTCATGGGCCCCGCCTGGTGTCACTTGAGGCCCTGTTTCAGTTCCGATCTGCCACATGAGACCCTTTTGGTTTTCCATGGGTTTTAAATTACAAGAGAAACAGCAGGGTGAGAGTTCACTGCCTGCAGGGGCAGAGCCTGGCCCTGCCTGGGGTTTCAACACTGGCACCTCCCTGGGAGTAGAGAAGACCCCTGCTCCGGAGGACAGAGCAGTGGGCCGGGCTTGCTGTGATGCCCACACCCTGTCTCCTCCGCAGCACGTTCACACTCGGCCCCTCCCTTGCCTCCAGCTCTGCTGCCTGGTCTGGAAGCTTCCTCAATGGTGTGTCAGGGATAGAGTTGTTGGCAGGGCCTCGGCTGTAACCTAAGCCGGCTTCT